TTTCTTTCCAGCTTCAAATCGTTTTCGCTCCTCATCAGATTGAAGTTCCAGAGAAGGGATGGCTTGGGGCCTACTTTGCTCATCCAAGGACACATATATGAAAAATGCACTGCACGCTCTCACACTTTTGTCTGAGTGCAAAAAAATAATACAAAATAAAAATAAAGATAAATAAAAAATAAACAATAAATAAAAGTTACCTTATCCCGGGGTTCCAGTTAGGATTTAGCGTTTGTAGGAGAAGACCTGAGTGGGTACGAGTTTTCTAGGGGGGTCCGGGAGCATGCCCCCCTGAAATTAATTACAATTAATATGCGCTGATATACAATCTGGTGCGTTTTGAGACACAGTTTTGAGAAATGTTACAGTGGTATTTTTTTTTTTTAATAATACTCGATGTTTCTTGTCATACAGGGTCCTTAGACAGGAATACTTACTTTATGTACACTGACCTCGTCGCGTCTGGATGATTTTTCCGATATAGTTACTTATATAATGTAATGATAACAATATCTTTTGGAGGGAAGCTGGGTTTTTTTTTTTTTTTTTTTTTTTGGGGGGGGGGGGGAGGGGGCGGGGAGAAGCTTCTACCCCTCAAATACTCTAGATAGAACCATGATATCGATAGGAAGCTTACGCAATCACGGCATTTATAGCGTAAATAAAATAAATCCGCGCCGATCCGTAATTTATTGCTGTTTTTCTATTTCCTTCAATTGTTCAAATGAGGTTAAATTTCACTGATGTCAAATTCGGAAGAGCCGTAATGCTAGAGTTTCAGACGTTCTTCAAAAAACGTGAAATTAGTCCCCTTTTATATGGAGAAAGCTTGTCCCGGGTTAAAGGACCACCTGCCTACCAAGGAAGGTACCCTGGGCGAGCCAACTTTTTACACATTTTCTTAAAAAACGTGAAAAAACGTGAAAATGAGAACCAAAAAAGGTGACTGGAAAAGCGGCCAGAATGGTGACTTGCCTAGCTGGATCAATCTTTTGTGATGGTAGGGTCAACCTCCTAGCCGGGCTTTAGCTCGCCTAGACTGGTCAAATCGGCCAAAGCGAGACAATCAGAGCATGCGCAAGCGATGTTTAAGGTAACCATTACATGTACGAGGGCTATTGGAGCGTGTAAAGAGGTCAACTTTTTTTTTTTCATACAAACGCTCGCTTAAATTGACTTGGCTGGGAGGGTAATCATTTTACCCGGAACAACTCATATAAACGGGACCTTAACTACGAAAATTCGTGCCGTAGTCATGCAGTGTACCAAAAAGTGTGCGGCACGTGCAAGGTGGTTGGTTCGTTCAGTTCACTTCCTTTTGTCTAATTTTCCTTTTATTTATTTATTTATTTTATTTATTCATTTATTTTATTTTTTGACGTTCCCGTTAGTGTTGCCATCGTGGTTGTGTTAACTCTCTAATGACAGTACTATTTCATCTTGTCAACATAGTATCAAGCCTCATTTTCAATTCACATTAGGTAGATTCTTCCCATTTCAATGATCTGGCCTGTGAGCACACTCTCTATTTGGGGGAGTCGCGACAATAGCCAAGGTTCAATATATTAAAATTCTTACATAACTCCGAGGCTTTCTGCCCATTTTTTTTCTATATTTGATTTTCTTTTCTTTGTGCTGAAGTCTCTTCTGGGAATTGCGAAACAATGGAGTCGTGAAAAATTTGCAATTTTGTCCTTGAAGCCTAGGAGTCATGTCAGAATTTTAACATATCGAACGAGGGCTATTTACGCGTACGCCGCACGCGAAAGGAGACGCGAATTCTTCGCCGCTCGCGCGTTCTTTCGCGGTTCGCTTTGCTCGCCATCATAAACCCTTCCACGCTTTTTTTTTCAACTCCTAATAAGCACCAGTTAAGGGAAAACCGTCCACACCACTGCAAAGAAAATTTACGGACGTCTGCATGGTGGGGGGCAAGTTTATGCCCCCAACTTTAAACAAACGTCAGCTGTAAAGATTTCACGACTTTGAGGAACTATATCTTTGTTAGTTTTCAACAAATCACCTTCAAACTTGGTAAATTTACTAATTTAAAGGCGCTCCTCCCAGTGGAGTCAACGGATTTTTCCTTAGTTGTCAACATCAAAAATTGAAAAAAAAAATAATGATAAAATAATAATAGTTAAAAAAACGTGGAAAGGTTCATTGCAGAGCTTGCTCACAGGCTACCAATGATCGCGATATTGCAACAAGGTGAATTCCGTCCCAGCTGCTCAGAGGTTGACCACCACAGAAATCTATGTAGCACTGACGTTTCAAAATTCTTTACCGAAAGATAATGCCAGCTTATAGAAAGCAGAAAACGACAAAGTTCAGATCTTCGGAAAGAGTTCATCTTGATAGAAAGTCGACATTATTTACTTTGTTGCCCCTTTACATTATTTTCACTAATTTATATGTATTACATGTATCTATATTATCAATGTCATTACCATTATCATTTATAATAATTTTATTTCATTTTGAAATTCATTTTTGGAGAGGTGGGGTGGACAATAAAATGGCCATTAGAAAGAGATAACTTCTAATTTAGTCTATACCTGCTACATAATCTTTGGCATCAACAACAACTTCGATTTCCATTGAGTGGCTACTAGTGAAAGTAGCTCTCCCAGTCAGATGTATCACGTGACCTAGCTTCACTGGTGCATGAAAGTCAATCGCATCTGTAATTTAACAAAAATTTACATTTATTTTACTTTTTACAATTTAATATCCAAGTGCATTAATAGAGACCTTTAGATTCGAGGACGAGAACAACTGCCTGGATGAGAACGACTACCTGGACGAGAACAACTACCTGGACAAGACTGGATTTAAGTTATTTTCACATAATTTATTCTAAAAAAAGAGACACCCCGGAAATCTTCATTTTACTTCGGTTGATCTGAAGATGTTTTCGTAGAATATTCTGTTCGTGTGATTTTTGTAGCTGCCATTGTGGCTGTTGTTTAAAAGAAAAAGAAGAACTATATTGGAGAGCTTTAGATTCTGAGACCAGGACGTCTACAAGTATGAGATTTTCTTAATACTGAGTATTGCTCACGCGTGAACTAATGTCATTTTGGCAGGAAAACAACAAGTTATTAAAAGTATAAGCAATTTTATCATTTTGCTATCGGGAGAGGGCTTAACCTCCTTCAGTATAAATACCAGTACTAACTTTTTGGATGAAAAAAAGTAAAATGAAGCTTGCCTGGGTGTCCTCTTTTTTCTAGAACACGTGCAATTAACATTTAAGTTAAATCTTGTACTTGTACACATTGTTGTCCTCAAATCTAAAGCTCTCTGTTTTAATTTCAGTAAACTGTAATATGGCGGTTCAGATTAACTGTGTTATAAAGGCCCAAACATTTTCAGTTTGTTACTTGTTGTCTTTCTGAACTAGGACTCAATGGTTCTGGACTTGGACTCATGATTTTTCACAAGATGAGTCCCAGGACTTACCATAGCTATTTGTAACAAAATCACTGTTAGCATGGTTAGTATTGAGAAATTCTCGTACTCGTTGTTGTAGTCATAGTCTAATAGAATCTAGAGGTCTCTAATGTATCCACAAAAACAGCTGTTCTGAAAAAAATATGAATTGAAAACTAAAGCTTCACAGCAAAGGATTCTACTAACAAATTTCAAGGGCCTTAACTGTGCTTAAATTTCTCCATATGCTTGCTTTAGCTTTTCCGTATATTTGTCTGCAATTTTTCCCAGGAAATTTTAGTTGGCTGGAAGAATAATTTTGACAGAGAAATGTACAGAAAATTTTAAAAACTGGTTCTAGCAAATGTAGCTGCATGTCACACCCTCATATTTTTTCAGTAGAATTGTTAGGAGTGAGGCTTTAGTTTACAACTCACATTTTTTTTTTCCAAAACAGCCATTTTACGGAAATTCTGCGACATGAGATTCTCATAAAAACACTGTAATTTCCCACACAGTTGCCTACAAGTCAAAATGGCTTCCAAAACCATGACAAGGTCTCAGATTCACATATGGCTCTGGTGCTTGAGGCAATAAAACATTTTTATGGTCACCTTGAAGTTCAGGGTGTTAAAAAGAAATTCCATTTGTCTACTCTCAGTTCATTTTTGTTTGTTGTTGTTGTAAGTGATTGTTGTTGCTTCTGTTATATGCTCCCTTTGAGCAAAAGACCGATGGAAAAAAAAAAAATTTCTTACTTCCAATAACATGTAAGCATCATCACTTCATTTGCATTCCCTTTCATTTTTTTATTAAATTACTTGTAGCTTTTATTTGGACCAAAATTCAAAATTTGTATAAAATTGTTGATCTGAAAGTACACATATCCATAACTTTTCTTCTTATTATTTGTATTTGTATTTTTTTAATTCTTAGGGGCGGAAGGATAAACTCTTACCAACTGATGCCGTGACCACATTGGTTTTACAGTGTCGGAATGCAACTATTCCTGCCACTTCATCCATCATTTTCATCGTAACACCTCCAAGTACATACCCAGTACTTGCACAATCTGAGGGTTGTACAGAGTGGATCAGAGATGACTGCGAACTGTTTACACTATATCTTGAAACATTCCCACCATCAGTTCGCTCAGTTGGCTGCACTCCATCATTGATATGTAGTGGCACCTCTAACTGAAAAGACCATTATTTTAAATTTTTAGGCATCAAACTAACCTCCTTCTAAGTAATCACAAATTGGCGATAGAGACAGGTCGGTATGTAAGACCTTATAAGAAACCGGAAGAAAGGATCTGTCCTAGCTATCTGTAAAAAAGACGTAGAAGATGAAATACACTTTTTAACTCTGTGCCCTGCGTATCAAGAAAAAAGAAGTACTTTATTTGAATACTTAAACAAAGAATACAGTAAACAGAAGTAAACAGTAATGGCACCAGATGATCTTTTTCTGTTGTTAATAAACCCTCTGAGCAAGAACAAACCAGTGCAAAAGTTAATTGCAAAATACGTATTCGACTGCTATGAGAAAAGAAGATCATTAGTTGTTTAGGTTAACATTGATTATAGTTCCACTAGTGTGCAATTTGTGTTATAATTTTAAATTATTTGGATAAAGTCGATATACATAGGACTGTATAAGACTCCAAATAAAACATTGTCTTGTCTTGTCTTGTCTTGTCTATCAAAGGGAAGGGGCTTCATTACAGAAGTTAATTTTAAAACTACAGTGAAGGTATGTGAAAGGGGTACCCGTTGTCTATAGAAGGTATTTGAAAGAGGCACTTTTTTTGTTAAAAGTGGTATAAAAAAGGAAAAGGGGTTGGACTTTGTGGAAGAGCTTCCCCTTACAAAACTTTCTTGAGTACCCCTCCCCAACCCTGTATAACAGAATATTACATGTATGTAAGTAATAACGTTTATCTACCTCTTTCATAAGCTCCCTTTTATCAAGCCTAGCTCTCTTCTGTCTTTTGTATCTCTCTTTTCCTCTTTCCTCTTCCTCTTTACTTGAATATTCTACAGCAGGTACCTCTGGTATGATCCTCATCTCCTCATTTCCGGTGACGGGAACGTACCAGAGTGAGGCACGGTTGGTAAGCCTACGACTTCCGGTTATGAGATTTTCTGCCCAAACGCACGCTTGCACTTCCAAAGAATGCGTTGATGCGTAGCCTAGCTCTACGTGAACTTGAGCAACTTCCCCTATAAACATCGGTTGCAAGAAATCTGTCCTTTCAACGCGCGCCAAAGCTGCCAATATCGGCTCAGGACTTGTTTTCCGACCATTCTTGTTACAATGGCGTGTAGCAATTATGAGCCCTGCTTCCTCGATTAGCTTCAATGTTGTTCCACCGTGAACATTGCCAGCAATATTAGCATCATCAGGGTGCATAAGGCGGCAAACTTCGATGGAACCGCGGGAAATTGAGTCCCCCGTGTCTTTCATATCGACTCCAATCAACCCTTTCGCCGTCATTTTGTTTCTGTACACACGCAAACCAAGAACAGCGGTAGCTCAAACAACGCACGCGTAGAATCGTTGACGGAAGTGGTTAATGTAAAAAAATGGCGGCTGAAGAAGACGACGAAGATATTTGGGATAGCTGGGAAGATGTGGCAGATTCTGGGGTAGGATGTCAATAGATCGGGTGAAAAAAATGGACTTGGACTATTTGCACATTGATTTATTAAGTCACAGCCCGTTTATCGACATCAGTCCCTTCAGTATTCTTTAATTTTGTTGAGAAGTTGGACGATTCTTAATTAGCCTTTATGCTTGTATCATTCAGTTTATCTGTTGTGACGTTATGATTGGAAAAGGTTTATTTGAATTATGTCTGTTAGTGGGATATGACGGGAGCCCGCTGCTCTGAACTTGTGAAATCCAGGATAGTGAAAAGTGCTGAGATTTCTTAGCAGCCCCACAAAATTAAGGCTCCATGGGCCAACGGGTACTGCTAGATTATTATGATATTATTGTAATGATTATTTAATTTACTTATTAGGAATTGGAGAGAAGGATGGAGGAGAGGGAGAAGCAGGTCAGGGAGAAAGATAAAAAAGCTTCGAGTGGATCATCTAAGTAAGATAAATCAGTTCAAAACTGTCTTGTTTGAAGAAAAATAGAGAATGGCACGCTGGGCCTCTTAAGTAAGGCTAATCAACCTAAAAATTAAAGAGTGCAAGAAAGAGCTTTGCACATTTGGGCCAGGGGTAATGGGCTGCAGGGTGGGTGAGGGTTGGACTATTGGCTTGCTGTGAGCACCCCAAATCATGTTGAGAACTGTAAATATTTTAAATGTCCTTCCCCTCTATGTGCAACCAACACAGTTCCTAAGAGACCAAAAGTCATTTTTTTGGCTTTGTGGATGGTTCAGTTCAGAAAGGCTTAACAGTATAAGCCAAAGAGCGCTAATTTAATTGTGTCTACATCTTTATTATTGTACAGATTAAAAGAAAACAAAACCAACTCTCCTGTTCTGATGCAAGAGGATACAAACAGAACGCATTACAGACCACAGGTAAATGTACTTATGGAACATGAGGGAAAACTTGATCTGCTTTGTTCTACATAATCTTGTCATCACATTTGTCAGTGTGCATCCTAATCTTGGTGTTCCTGTGGTACAAAGCCACAAATTTTTGAGTTATCACAGACAACTGCCGATTAGCCGCCCCTACTGGGAAATTGGACTCTTTTCGACTCAATTTCGCTTCAGTAGGTGACAAATGCAGATCCATAAACAATGATTACGTCTACAAGTTTAATATTAGTTTGGGACAAAGTATGTGGTCTTTGGAATCAAAATACTCAACATCTTCTATTTGTGATTATCATTTAGGAATGGCTTAGGTGTAAGAGGTTTATTTTGGTAAACTAAAAAAATGTTATTCCTTCTGATGTATTAGTTGAACCAGAAATATGACTCCCAATATAGCTTTTTATTCCAAAAGAAATTCTGATTCAAGCTACATGTATGTACTGTTACTTTTAGACTCACATCTGGGCCTCTGAATCAAATAATAATATTTTTTTAAGCTACAGTTATGTATTATTAAAGAAGAAATAAGTTCTTATTTAAAATTTTGCTTAACCAGCTATCAAGGTTAGCAGTATTAATTTCCTAAAACCCAGTATCATCTCAGGGTCTGATGTTTTAGTATCTTTAATGATAACTATTTTTAATATTCAGGGCTGTGCTCTAGCGGAGCCCAGTGGCACTTGGCGCCTAACTTTTGATTTTGGGCGACTAGAAAATCTTACAAATCGTACAAATCATATGCTGGGCACCCTTGCTTTTACAGGTTTAGAGCACTGGGCTCCCTTCCTTAGAGCACAGCCTTGATAATTATTGTTAACATAAACATATTGGTTCTATGTGAGATTTTACTTCCAGCTGTATGTAGTTTCAGACCGTTTCAAGATTTTAATTTCATTGTCAGTGATTTTTTTTTTCTTGTAGCTAAGAATTTTGAAGAGGCCAGATTCTGGAGGATCAAATCTGTCTAAATCTCAAGAAATGAGTAAAGAAAAACCTGTCCATAAAACACTGGCAGAAAGACAGGCACAATATGCTGAAGCAAGGTGAGAAAAAGTTTATTAAACACACTCCATCTAATCCAGTGATTACAACTGTACTTTCTAGTTTAAAGTTTAAAGAAGCCTTTCTGACTACAAATGCATGGGCATTGATCTATTAGAATACACTGTTGTGTTTTTCTGTTGCAGTTGGTGTACATGTCTTTTGTAGTTGTTGTTGTTGTTGTTTTGCTGTTTTTTTGTATGTCTGTTTGTTTGGTTGTTTTTATATAAAAAATATACACACTGTATATAAATGTAATATTTTCTTTTCTCATCAGCTCAGATAATTTGTTTCTCATAAAAGCAAATGTACAATGTGCACATGTGCATGCAGATCCAAGGCTGTGCTCTAAGAAAAAATGGCAATGCCCAGTGCCCTGAACCTGTGAAATCCAGGGTGTCCAGCATAGAATGTCTATAAAACATCAAAAAAATAATGATAATGATAAATACAATACACTTAACAAAGACAATGAGAATGATGATGATGATGATGATGATGATAATCAGTGTTCCAGCCAGAGTGTGCCATTGCGTGAATCCCGCAAAAAAACGAGAGATGGCCCCCACCAAAAGTGTTCAAGGGCCATTTATGGCCCTTTCGTTCTATAATTCCGTGGGCTTAAAAGTGTCTCTGTTACCTCAACTACAATAATTTTCCAATTAAACAGCATTTTTAATCTAAAGAACAACGACTCCGTTCCTTTGTACACAACACGAAAATCAATTGACGAATCTTCTTGAGTTTACCTGATTTACGTTTAGTGGTCTGGAGACCACTGAGCCTCGACTTGACTTTTGTAATATCGCAGGAGCTGTGTCCATCGTAGTGTCTCGAAAAAGGATAAACCTGACAAACGCATCTTTGAGGTTTATCAAAAGTTTTTTCTCAGTAAGTAATGAAAAAGTGGATGGAGGAGAAGCAGTTCAGAAGAAGCAAAAGGAAGCAGATCTTGTTGGTGAAGTAGAAAATGAGATGAAAAAAATTACTTATCATTTTTTATTGCATACATTCTGATTTTAATGTTTGCTTTATTACAGAAGATTTCCTCTATTGTGTATAAAGAGGGATGCTTCATCTCAGCTTCAAATAAACTGCCATTTTCATTTCCTTAACTTTCCAACTGTTTCTTCTCTTTTGCATATTAGAAAGATACTGGTACATTGGCCCTTTCTTGAAATATCTGGCCCCCAAAAATGGGTTGTGGGGGCCACTTTGGCCCTCAAGCAGAAATTTTTGGCTGGAACACTGTGATAATGATAATGATGACAAAAATAATATTATACACTTAGTACCAGATCCTGAGGGAAACATCAGGACTTGAGGGAGTACAAAACTAACCGGTTTCCCAAGGGACCTGACATTAAGTTTTTTGTTATGTTTCTAGACTTTCCCTTTAACAGCAACAAAAGAATAACCGGAGCGAACCAAAACAGTCGACTTGGTACTTATAACAACACAAATTCGATTCTTTAAACCACTGAATGAATGATTTACAAAGTACTTTCCTTGTATTATTTGCATCTTTTTCCTCCACTAGCTGCTGTTTCTCTTCTGGGATGACTTTGAAAATCATAGCTTTTTAGCTTCAGGCTTCCTGTTTGTGTTCAAGTTGTTGTGTTTATTCACGTAAAAGAAAACTGGCAGTGTTTTTCCCGCCTTCTTTCACACCACTTTCCACCATGCTTTGATCACGAGCTGTAATGTATCATGATCGGGATACATTTCATTTTTGTCAAGGCCACAAGACCAAGAATCAACCAATGGCAGTCCCTGTTAAGTAGAGTGAAAGTCTAGGAATATAACAACTTTATTAATTTACTTTACAGTAGAATAGTGACAAACCTGTGACCGTTCCATGATTTCCTAGTTGCCCAAAAGCAAAAGTAAGGTGCCAGGGGCTACTGCTAGAGCACAGCAGCCCTTGTCTGATCTTCTGATCCTCTGCCAAAAATGTACATGTGAGAAAATTACAATATATAATTATCTGCAGAATTAAGTGCTTACATTTTGTCACTGCACCCTTCGTAAAATTGCAAAGGTAGACCATTTACATGTATAAATGCATAATTTTTTATAGGGCAAGGATTTTGGGAAGTGCTACAGCGGATGAAAGCAATGACCTAGAGTAAGTTCCTTGATTCCATTCCTTGATATCATCATTAGTTGAATTACAGGTATAAGTAAATAAATCGATATCATTCTTTAGGTGCAGTTACACAAGACCATCTTCCCTAGCTCCCCTTGGGGAAATAGAGACAAGAATATGTCACATCACATTACTGTGGTAGCATCATCACTGGATCTGAACAATAGGCTGATTAAGCAACAGAAAGGGAAAGTCAGTTGACACCTGCGTGCGCAAACCAAACAACTGGCTTAACCAATGGCAGAGCGGCAAATTGGACACCGGAAGTCGCGTTCAGTCCTTTCCGCGCGCGTTCGCCTCGTCAACTGACGTTCCCGTTTGGTTGCTAAATCAGCCTAATCTTTCTTGACAGAGACGGTCATTTGCAAAGTCAAACGATAGAGGAAAAGTTGGGCTCCATTTTGTTCCTAAGTGCAATCATGCACACGAAAGTCATACAAATCATTATATATATATATATATATATATATATATATACACCCGTTTTCAAAAAGGTTTTCATACAGAGAGATATATAGATAGATATATACTTTTGTTCTCTTGCACGTTCGCCCGTGTGTATTTTTCACTTGTTATTGTCCAACTTGTGAAGAACTCGGTTCAACGATCAATTTTTCGTCGTCGGGTTTTTTTGTTCCAATTTGACATGTCGTTTTGAGTTTTTTTTTTTTTAGAAAAATACATGCGCCCTGCGATACAAATTTGCAATGGCGAATTATATGGCTGATTTTGGGAATGAGGAAAACATCCCGCGAAGCAGCCGATCCGCGAGTAATACGGCGTCACGGAATTGGTAGCCCAAATGCCATGGCATCTGTAGCAAGTGACAAAGCATTTTTATTGATAGAGTGTATTAAAAAATGCGCTGTCCAGGGGCGTGCTTAAGAGGAACTGTAGACTAACTTGAAAGCATTTGTGGCCGAGAGTTTATTCTGTCTTCAATGACACGTTGCCTTACAGGTCGTGATTTTACACGAAAAAAGGTGAGACATTAAAATACCTGACCAGCTCATCATGGTTATGATAAAGTCTGCTTCTATGAACCTCGTCATCATCTTAGTCCGTTTTAATCAACTGCTATAATATTGTTGCTCCTTCCCACATATCCAATATGGACATCCACCGTCACATCTTCCTTCTCAGCGGTTTCGAAAACACACTTTTTTCATTTCATCTGCGTTGTTTTAAAAATGAAAATCTTTGATGTTTTTCCCCTTATCCTGTAACGACAACAATTATATGATCTACAAGAGACCGAATTCCTCATTCTTTAATTTTCAAGAGAATGCAAATCAAGAGAATTGCAGACAGTGCTCGTGCATTATTTTTTTAACTGACAAATTGGAACAAAGATTCTGACGAAAAGAAAATTTATCGTTTAACCAAGTTTTTTCACAAGTTGGACAATAACAAGTGTAAATTTACACGGGCGCACGTGCAAGAAAACAAAAGTATATATATCTATCTATATATCTCTCTATATGAAAACCTTTTTGAAAACGGGTGTATATATATATATATATATATATATATATATATATAGACCAGTAGGTGAACTACTCAAATCCTGAGTGCATGGGTGTTTAAGACAAGCCTGTTTCGTAGGCCACCGAAAAGGTGACCCACTCTTCAGTTAAACTCCATTATAACACTGACTACATCCAGAAGAGTGATCGCGTGATAAAAACGGTTACATATAACGTTTGAAATTTAAATTTTAGAAATATATATATATATATATTTAGTATATACACACTCAGTGATCTTGGTGAATTAAGCAATCTGATTGGTTCGCTATCTCGGACTATTCAACAATATTCACCTCCTAGCGAGTGGATAATGTGTGAGCTCGGTGTTTTTCCCATTTTTTTTAGAGAAAGATCTTTTAAAAGTCGACAAAATCCTAGGGTTGACTTTTTATAAGACAAGAAAAGACTTGAAAGGATTCAAAACGGCGTTTCCCACTTACTGTAGCTGAGTTTTGTTTGATGGATTGTTTACAACTCCCGTTCATTCGCGTAGAAGAAACTCAGCATTCCTAACAAGAAAATTTGGCCCAAAAATCGAAGTTTATTTCGGACAAACAAATTTGAAAGCAAATGTTTGCAGAAATTCTACATTTCAATTAAATGGGAGAAAGAATGCTACGTGAAGACGACGTCTTACCTCGAGGAACCGAATTGCCATTTTTGTCAGCACTTCATGCGAAGAACGACACAACAAACCTTTTCGGCTATAAACTTGGCGAGTCAACAGAAAACAACAAAGCTTTTCTTTTCTTCTCAGTTAAGGAAACAATTCAAACTTTTAGCGGTTCCATTTAAGTCATTACGCTGTTGTTTGCGAAGTGATAAGCTTGTGAATTGCCATGTTTGAAAACTCTACAAAGATCTATTTTTAAACTTTCGCGTGTCTAGCTGACCTGATCTGTCAATCAAATCGTACTTTTTAATAGTTTCCTCTCTGTTTTTGTTGAGATTCCTTCGTGTGTATATACTAAAACAATTATTCTTTTCAATCTCGATGAATAGTGGCTTTAGGAATATTTACCTCGCCACTTGGTGGCTCGGTAAATATTTAGCCACTATTCACCTCGATTTCAAGGAATAATTGTTAAATATATATTGGTTTGTTGAGATCTAGAAATTTTCCTACCATGGCAAAGCAGCAAAAATGACTTCTCTCTTTTGCTTATGGCGCGTTTTCAGGGTCAAAAATAAGTGTGTAGTTACCACACAAACTGAGTTGCCAGATAAATGATTGTCTTAGATGATGATTGTTGGTTTGTGGCCTGTTTTGACGTGCTGTCTTGCGATGGAATCCTTTCATCCCGTCATGACTTTCAAATCCACACTTCTTACTCGAGTTGATTTGAGAATGGTTTACGTGCATGCATAATTACTTTAATTTGAAATCTTTTTGCATGCTTTCTATGGAACCAAATAAAGCAATTTCTTAAATACGATTTTTTAAACTCACCCGCTTTACTTTTGAAATCACTTTTTTGCATGCTTACTTGCGAAGGATTATTCGATGATCAATTTCGTAAATACGTTTTTTTTTTTAACCATCATTACTTTTGAAATCTGTTTGCATTCTTACTTAAGAATTACGTAGCAGTAGGATTATCTTATGTTAAAAACATATGAAACAATTTCTTAAATACAATTTTTTTCAAATCGTCATTACTTTTGAAATGCGTCTGCACGCTTACTTGCAAAATACGTGACAGGAGGATTATTTGATAAAAGAAACGAAGGATCCTTTTTTACATGGGGATTTCGACTCCATGGATATGTTTACCCGCGTCACTGTCGAAAACGCGCTATTGTGCTTCACTGCACCCAACACGAAACGCGACTCAGTGACTCCCAAAATGACTTTTGAATTCGCTTTCGCTGCACAACAGAATGACTTGCGAACTTTCAACCAGGCGTTTCTACTCAGAAAGGCCCGAAAAGAGTCTGGAAACTCCTCCCCAGTGTCTCCGGGTCATCGATCAAAAATGGACGCTCGTCGTTGAGTTGATCGACCTTGATCGTTTTTCTAAGAAATGAGCTTGACACCTGAGCAATCGCATTTCTTGCAAAACCTTCGTCTACACCTAATAGATCTTTCGAGAAGATTGGAACAGGATGTTAATGAAACTGTTGCTGACTATGAGTTGTTTCGGTTGCAACTAACTTCGAATCAGGCGTTATACATGTAGTCGTACATGAATTATTTAACGAGAAACACATGCGAGGGGTGCATGGTCTCATCATTGTGCCATTTTATGATATTCTGACTGTACAAACTTGCGAGTACGTAGCTCAGTTTTGCGAATGGATCCCAATTTATTGAGGGAATGTGCCCAGCGTCTACAGGGGCGGATCTAGGGGGAGGGTGCCGGCGGTGCACATTCCCCCTGAGATGACCTGCGGTTTTCTAATACAACTGGTATTCTGCAAAAAAAAAAAAATAAAATAATTGTGTGGTTTATTGGTGTTGAAGTAGAGCAAGAGACGAGTGCACCCCCTCCTAAAAAAAATCCTGGATCCGCCCCTGGTCTAATTGAAACAGCCGATTTTATCCCGGGTTCAGGAGTTAATGGCGGATCCGTTGCATCATCAAGCGCACCATCGAGCACATCCAACACACGTCCGCGAACTGAAGACAACACCTCCACATCGAGCGGGTCTTGTGGTTCACATTGTGCCGTTCCTAATACCGCTCCCTCTGTTTCAAAACTGGGCCTTAACAGGTAAAAAATGACCCTGAAGTAAATGACAAGTATATGTTGCGATTCAGTTTTATCCTTCATTTAAATTTTATTTCCCACTGTTTTCAATGTTATTATAATACATTATGATACTCAAGTACTAATTATCAGGAGAAAATGTTTCAATCACAACATATTCATGTACTTCAAGAAAATTGCAGGGAATTGATATATAAGAAAAACCTTGTTTCTGTTAAAAGTTAAGATTCAATACTAAAAAAGTTAGCATGTGTAACAGGGGTTATTGAGCTAAGCAAGCCGCTTTTTTGCAGCATGCTGATGGTGAGAAGTCGATGTGAAGTGCAAGGCCTTCATGTGAACCACAACCTCAGTAGCACGTGTTAAGCAGGCTAACTAAAGGAAGCGATCATTGTTTTTATAACTTCCTTTTTAACAAGGAGATTATGTGTTTTGTGGGAGTAGAGATATGAAGGCAATGGTATCTTTCTGTTAAAGGTGCCTTTTATCATTTTGTTATATGATTCCAGTGGGAATTGAAGTTTGCAGCCAGTACGTACAGTAACATTTTATTAGTCCCATTACCAGCCTGTAAAGCAATAAAGAACGAACCAACCCTACCAAGGACTTTTGAGTTTGGACCTCTTGCTTGTTACTTAAAAGCCTCCCTGGTTCTAATTTGACCCAGAGTTAAGCTGCTGACACGTGGTTTAATAAGAAACAGTGAGTTTTGTTTCCCTGAGACCTTCAACACCGGCCAATCATTAAGTGTTTTGTCATAACCCCCAACTGAAAATATAATAATCTACAAATGGGTATGATGTGTATGAGATCAAAAATAGATAATACAGAGCTGCAACAATAATTCATCAAAGTGTATGAAGTGGGAGAAAATGTAAAAATTGATTGAATAGCCCTTATACATTTCTAGAAACTTCACAATTTAAAAAAGTAACTGACACAATAGTTGGTGATTTAAGCAATCTGATTGGTTCGCTATCTCGGACTATTCAACAATATTCACCTCCTAGCGAGTGGATAATGTGTGAGCTCGGTTTTTTCCCCATTTTCTTAGAGAAAGATCTTTTAAAAGTCGACAAAATCCTAGGGTTGACTTTTTTTCAGGCAAGAAGACTTCGAAGGATTCAAAACGGCGTTTTTCCATTTACTGTTGTTGAGTTTTGTGGTCGATGGATTGTTTACAACTCCCGTTTATTCGCCTCGAAGAGGCCTTTTCGTGAACTAAGCGTTTTCCAACAAGAAAAATTTGGCCCAAAAACGAAGTTCACTTATGACAAACAAATTTGAAAGCAAATGTTTGCAGAAATTCTACGTTTCAGGTAAACACGAGAAAGAATGCTACATGAAGACGACGTCTTACCTCGAGGAACCGAATCGCCGTTTTTGTCAGCACTTCATGCGAAGAACGACACAACAAACCTTTTCGGCTATAAACTTGGCAAGTCAACAGAAAACAACAAAGCTCTACTTTTCTTCTCAGGAAAGGAAACAATTCAAACTTTAGCGGTTCCATTTAAGTCATTACGCTGTTGTTTGCGAAATGATAAGCTTGTGAATTGCCATGTTTGAAAATTCTACAAAGATCTATTTTTAAACTGTCGCGTGTCTAGCTGACCTGATCTGTCAATCAAATCGTACTTTTGAATGGTTTCCTCTCTGATTTTGTTGAGATCACTTATATATATACTAAAACAATTATTCTTTTCAATCTCGGTGAATAGTGGCTTTAGGAATATTTACCTCGCCACTTCGTGGCTCGGTAAATATTTTGCCACTATTCACCTCGATTTCAAAGTATAATTGTTAATTATTAAAAAATAATAATATTTAAAGTAACATTATGTAGTATTTTTATTAATTACTTTAATTAATTAAGAACACGGGGTTGCAGTCAGGAAAAAATTCACGCACAGCCAAAAAGCTGAAAAAAAATTCTTGCTGGCCAAGAATTTTCCACCTACACCCCATCACTTTTCCAATAGTCTGTCCCTTAGTTGTCAAATACACATGGTGGAAAGGGCGGATTTAGGGGTGGGCCCAAAATAAGGCTAATGACACCATGTGGAGAGGTCTATACTGGCGGGTGCATAGTGCATGCAATATAAACATTATTATTATATAAAAGTAAAGAAGGTCATCGCAGTTACTTACGCAACTTAAGCAAATGCGAAAAAAGCCTAAAATATTATAATATAATCTCGTTTTAAATTAGTTTGAAATAAAATCGATCATTACCTGATTAACTTGTGGTTAACGTCTATGTGCCATAATAAAGGATTAAATTAACTGCAAAAACCGTGGACGAAGATCCTGCTAGTTGTAAACGTTGGATCTCTAGAAAAGAGATCTAATCAGCCAAAATATAAAGAACCAAGAACGAGAAGTCCAAAGACTACCACAAAGCTGATTTAAAACAACGTGTATTGCTTTTTATAACAATATTTCGGCAGGCCATACCAGTCTTCTTCAGGTTTACAGATGTTAACATCCTCTTCCAATCTATTAGATCAGATCTATTAGGTGTAGACGAAGGTTTGCAAGAAATGCGATTGCTCAGGTGTCAAGTTCATTTCTCAGAAAAACAATCAAGGACGACGAGCGGCCATTTTTGATCGATGACCTGGAGACACTGGGGAGGAGTTTCCAGACTCTTTTCGGGCCTTTCTGGGTAGAAACGCCTGGTTGAAAGTTCGCAAGTCATTCTGTTGTGCAGCGAAAGCGAATTCAAAAGTCATTTTGGGAGTCACTGAGTCGCGTTTCGTGTTGGGTGCAGTGAAGCACAATTAATAGCGCGTTTTCGACAGTGACGCGGGTAAACATATCCATGGAGTCGAAATCCCCATGTAAGAAAGGATCCTTCTTTTCTTTTATCAAATAATCCTCCCGTTACGTATTTTGCAAGTAAGCATGCAAACGCATTTCAAAAGTAATGACGATTTGAAAAAAATTGTATTTAAGAAATTGTTTCATATGTTTTTAACATAAGATAATCCTACTGCTACGTAATTCTTAAGTAAGAATGCAAACAGATTTCAAAAGTATTGATGGTTAAAAAAAAACACGTATTTACGAAATTGATCATCGAATAATCCTTCACAAGTAAGCATGCAAAAAAGTGATTTCAAAAGTAAAGCGGGTGAGTTTAAAAAATCGTATTTAAGAAATTGCTTTATTTGGTTCCATAGAAAGCATGCAAAAAGATTTCAAATTGAAGTAATTATGCATGCACGTAAACCATTCTCAAAATCAACTCGAGTAAGAAGTGTGGATTTGAAAGTCATGACAGGACGAAAGGATTCCATCGCAAGACAGCACGTCAAAACAGGCCACAAACCAACAATCATCATCTAAGACAATCATTTATTTGGCAACTCAGTTTGTTTGGTAACTACACACTCATTTTTGACCCTGAAAACACGCCATATTTGCTAGGGTTGTTTACATCACAGTCCTGCACTGAAGCCAAAAAGTGAAGCAAAAGTTGATGTCTACATTATTGTACATGTACACTGAATATTTTTACTCAAAAACGAGTGTTTGTTATTCTTAGAGAAAGGGATCAAAATTGCAAATGACTGCATTCAGAATGATTTTGTGATGGTACATGACAAGTCGTACCTTCTAATGTTTTGCATGTAAACAAAGTTATGTTTTCACCATTTTACTCTATTTACTGCAGGAAAAATGAAACTCCAAAAGTCATACATGTTGAACAGAAACTTCCTGACAATGTTATCCGACTTCCAAGGTAAGAGCTAAACAGTTTCATCTGCACTTCATCCATTGCTATAACTAATTACTGAAACAAATGCAACGTACAGTTATCATGTCACAAGCAATGGAAGTCCAAGACCGGGTTCTAAGATGCAACTTACTACCTAATATAGGGACAGGTCTGGTACTTTCACCACGAAGCTGGGATGTTTTGGCAAGCTAATTTCAAGAGGTCATTATTCTGCTCAATAGCATTCGATTTTCCCATCAGCAGAAGAAGCTGTATGGATAGATTAAGTAATTTCAAGGTTGAGGTAGCTAGTTAACTTGAGTGATCCGTGCTTTTTTGGCTAAGTACATTATAATGCGAGCAATATTATTTTGAGAAAGTATCAGCCATCAACAACTTGGCATCCTGGATATCCAGAAAAGACAAGCAGTAACACACTTTGGTTAAATTTCCATATTTTCGAACGGAATTTCTCCAAAAGTATCAGGTTTATCGGGCTCCAAGATAGTATATTTTAACAAATAGATTCCAGGTTACCGTGCGTCTGTTCTGTAATAGATCACAGATGACGTCAAAACGATTGTGGTAAAAACAAAGAAGTCGCACACGAGCCGCAGGCTAGTGTGTCACCGATGTTTTTACCACATGTTGATGTCTTCTGGGATCTATTACTGAACAGACCCACAGCAACATGGAATCTATTTGTTTTATACAATGATCAGGAAAGTATTAAGACCGATACACATACCTGCATCGTACTGCTTGACTGTTCGAAGATTTGTGCTAGTTTAGTCCCAAGCGCTATTTTACGTCTCGGCCTCTTTTCTTCTATATCTTATTTTTATACCGTTTCTTCTTTTTCATCGTCCTCACTTGCTCAAAGCATAATGATGGCGAAAACATTTTTGCAAAACAGCGAGTCTCTCTAGCGATGACACACGATGGCAACTGTTGTGAAGTTTTTTTGCAGTTTAGACATTCTGAAGTCGTCAACAACTTTTTTTGTCTTTGTTTATCCATTTTTCTTCTTTGCTAATAGCTCTTGCTAAATTTCAAGGTTTAGGCGACTTTCACTTGCGTAATCCGAAATTATCTTACAAACATTTTCAAAACCGCGCGCCAAGTTTTCCGTGACGTCATCCATGTATCTGTACTCTGATAGATCATGGGCAACGACCATTCGCTGCGCGCGTAGCATTCACGTCATAACATTGTAATATATGGAAATGGTCAGGGCTAAAAGCGAAGTTCTCTTCAATATCTTATAGCTTACTCAAACATAATAACAATCGAGTAAAGGTGATGTTACACGGGACGATTCGCAGAAACGACTGTTAGCGCAACACACCGTTGCAACATTGTTTTAAATGGTTACAACGTTGTTTCAACATTGCAACGCTGTGTTGCACTAAAAATCGTCCTGTGTAACATCACCTTAATGCTAAGCGGCGACGGCAACAAAAACAGTTCCCCAAAAAATAAGTGGGTCTTATTAGAAAAAAAAAGTTTGCACGTGCAGCACACTTTTTTTTTCTTTTTTTGTACATTTCTTTTCCCTTGTTTTGCACGACTACAACAAAAAACTTCATAGTTAGACGTTTTATGGTGGAGATGTTGAATGTGTTCCTCTTCACGTTTTTTTTTTTTTTTTTTTAATCGCTGCCGTTAATTTTTTTCCCCCGTGGTGGCCGCTACCATTTTTTCTTTTTTCAAAAAATTTTTGTGTTTTTTTTCCAACGAAATTGGTTTTCTTCGTTCTTAATCGCTCCCGCTCTAGCTCTTTCTCTGTTATCCACGTCAACGTAGACATAAAAATTATGTCCAAAGAAAGAAGTAGCTTTGTAACACTAGAAAAACTCCATTGGCTACCTCTAGGTACACTTCCACTACCTTGATAATATTTTGCCAAGACAAACGCAAGCTTCCTGTCTTGGATTCTCCGTCACCCTGGCAGACTCTAGTTAGTACCACCCCCAAGTCTACTTAGTACCACCCCTAGCGAACGTACGTAGGTGCGGGCATAGGCTGACGTCATAACCAAATTTTCTCGGATGGATAGTTGACCAAATTTTCTTAGCTAGGGGCTACGCTCGCACGCGCTCTGCGAGGAGCTCCGCTATAATATCTTATCCCAGTATTTATAGTTGCTGTTTTTAATTGATCCGATAGTCAACAGCGTACATATACGCCGATCAGGAAAATTCAGTGTGGACAACGCATAGACCTATTCGGCTAACTCAATGTTGTACCCAATTCAAACCCTTTGGGAATAAAACGTTTTGTTTCAGGAATTTCCATATCATTTAAATGTGAATGCGACATTATAATGCAAATGTAATACACAAAGAATCTTATCCCCGGGAGATTTGAATTGGGTACAACATTGAGTTAGCCGAATAGGTCTATCCACACCTTTTAGCTGAGGAAGTAACCTACATTGAATCTTTTTGTTTNTTTTTTTTTTTTTTTTTTAATCGCTGCCGTTAATTTTGTTCCACCGTGGTGGCCGCTACCATTTCTTCTTTTGTCAAAAAATTTGTGTGTTGTTCTTCCAACGAAATTGGTTTTCTTCGTTCTTAATCGCTCCCGCTCTAGCTCTTTCTCTGTTATCCACGTCAACGTAGACATAAAAATTATGTCCAAAGAAAGAAGTAGCTTTGTAACACTAGAAAAACTCCATTGGCTACCTCTAGGTACACTTCCACTACCTTGATAATATTTTGCCAAGACAAACGCAAGCTTCCTGTCTTGGATTCTCCGTCACCCTGGCAGACTCTAGTTAGTACCACCCCCAAGTCTACTTAGTACCACCCCTAGCGAACGTACGTAGGTGCGGGCATAGGCTGACGTCATAACCAAATTTTCTCGGATGGATAGTTGACCAAATTTTCTTAGCTAGGGGCTACGCTCGCACGCGCTCTGCGAGGAGCTCCGCTATAATATCTTATCCCAGTATTTATAGTTGCTGTTTTTAATTGATCCGATAGTCAACAGCGTACATATACGCCGATCAGGAAAATTCAGTGTGGACAACGCATAGACCTATTCGGCTAACTCAATGTTGTACCCAATTCAAACCCTTTGGGAATAAAACGTTTTGTTTCAGGAATTTCCATATCATTTAAATGTGAATGCGACATTATAATGCAAATGTAATACACAAAGAATCTTATCCCCGGGAGATTTGAATTGGGTACAACATTGAGTTAGCCGAATAGGTCTATCCACACCTTTTAGCTGAGGAAGTAACCTACATTGAATCTTTTTGTTTCTCATGTTTCTAAAGCGTGGTTTTGATATTTTTTCCCTTTTAGAGGTCCAAATGAAGACGGTTCGAAAGGCTTTGTGTTCAGAAGATGAAGGCCGACAGATATTCAGGCAAAATCATCAAAACTATCGACATCGTGGAATAAATTCGTGGCAAGAGAAAAGCTTGCCTATTTGTCGGTTTTCAGGGTGCAAGAAGTCAAGCCGTCTTCGTGATACTGAAAGCTGGTTGGACCTAATGAACCTAATAACATGCCTTATCCGCGGGCCTGGTGGAGAAAGGAAATTTTTGCTCGAGCAAATTTTTACCGTAACCATGAGACGGTGGTTGGATCTGGAGGCTTGCTGATGAGTTACTTAAGAGACTGTTCTTTATTTTATCTTGCTGAATAGCTCCAAACCAATGGTATAGTGTACCAACAAACGACTGGAGTACCTTCTTTCTAAGATTCCCTCAAGGAGGGAGGGGTGAACTGTTCGACAGAGATTCATATCGCCTGGAATGCGAACTTTACCACCTCGGCTTTTTAGTGGATGCGTGCGTGATATTATTCAGTCGAAGCAAACTGTGGTCTATTCAAATTGAAGAACCGATAGATAGAGATAGATAGATAGATAGATATTCTGTTCACTTCACCCACTTGCAGCAATAACTGAATTGTTGGGGAAGGTCATTGTCACATACAATTAACCATTTACAATAACGTATTTACATACGATCTTCTCGTAATAAGTTTTTTGTGCGAATAATATTAGCACTATAAGCTACCTTTACCTAACATCATCGGTTCATAATAAGTGGTTCAAAATACAGAGTCATCGCTACAAAATTATTCCAAGGCATTTACAGTGAAACTTTTTCGTTATTGAACTTCTGAAATGCTTGAGAGGTTTCTAAGCTTAACTTACCTAATAAGGAGATGTACATAACTACATATGTACATGTTAAAGCTAAAGCTTGGTTTGCTTGATGCTCTATTCACCCATTTTCTGGCACCATTTTCACGCTATACCGGATAGTTTTTGGCATCCGTTATGTGATTTTCCGCTTTAGAAATCGGCGCGGCGCATCTTCGCTTCGTCACAGAAATCGCGCCGCCACAATTTTTTTTGTGTGTAAACAGAAGTTCTAGCCGGTCTGATTTTCGTGGCGACGCAAAAGATATCGGGTATAGTGTGAACTTTGACTAAGTTTTTTTCCCAACCGTACACCTTGAAGCTGCTTTTCTGAGGGGTGTGAGTCTTTTTAACTTGAACGCTTGAACTCCCATTTGCCGTGGGATGTCTACTTAATCTAGGATGTTATGACTGTATTTCTTCATGTCCGGCTTTTGCTCTCCGCTAAACCAGTTGAATGCGCCAGCTAGAGAATTAAAATGCCTGGTCACTATGTCAGCTTCTCTGTATAGTNTTTGGCATCCGTTATGTGATTTTCCGCTTTAGAAATCGGCGCGGCGCATCTTCGCTTCGTCACAGAAATCGCGCCGCCACAATTTTTTTTGTGTGTAAACAGAAGTTCTAGCCGGTCTGATTTTCGTGGCGACGCAAAAGATATCGGGTATAGTGTGAACTTTGACTAAGTTTTTTTCCCAACCGTACACCTTGAAGCTGCTTTTCTGAGGGGTGTGAGTCTTTTTAACTTGAACGCTTGAACTCCCATTTGCCGTGGGATGTCTACTTAATCTAGGATGTTATGACTGTATTTCTTCATGTCCGGCTTTTGCTCTCCGCTAAACCAGTTGAATGCGCCAGCTAGAGAATTAAAATGCCTGGTCACTATGTCAGCTTCTCTGTATAGTATTGCTGCTTTTCACGTGACGTCACGGCGGTCATGTTGGTGATAAAGAACAAAAGCATTTCTCTCCTCTGGAAGCTAAACTCCATTTTTTATTTAAATTCTCCAAATTATGCTAATTATATCGGCGTATTGAAGGCACGTGCTCTGAATCTCTCAGTTAAGATTTTGGACGGAGTCGATCAAGCTGCCATTCAAATTAGACATCACAGGATGTTGTCGTTGGTTCCCAGTATTTTTCACCTTATTATGGATGAGTAGTACTGGGAATCACTTGAGTAAAGGGTGGAAATCTCGAAGGATGTACAATAAGTAATTTTAACTTCTTTTTTATTGATCTCATGACAATTATTTAACAAGTGTAGTAGCTAAGAGCATTGATTCTAAATTAAACGTAGTGAGTGTTTTCTGTTGCCTTTCTAGATTATCCAGTTGTTAATTATATTTTTGTTTTCCAGGTACTAAGAACTGGTTAAGATATCCTATGATCAGACTAAAACTATCAAGCTCCCTTTATTACATGAGGTCTTTTCGACAATCCGGTAAAAGAATGATATCTGTGGACGAAATCTGAAGAGCCATTGAACCATACTGAAGTTTTCAAGCTTTCGTTGCCTACTAACTTGCTCGGTGATGGTTTTCATTCATTCAGTATGGCTATTCCACGATGTACTTGAGCCAAAGATATTGACATTTTTAAAACAAACAAGCCAAGACTTAAGTCAGAATAGGAAGGTAGAATGCAAAAGAAAAAAAAAAACAAATATTCTCCGTTGCCTTTAACAAACGTAAAAGAGACGAAAAAGAATCTACACGCGAATTTATCAATAACTTGGAGTTTGAGATGACGAGGAGTAGGAACGAATGGACATGCGCCGATTGCGTCGTCAAAACACCATCAAAAAATAAAAGAATAGCTAGATTTCATAACAGCCAAAAGATTAAGAAACTGGTTCGAAACTAAAGTATGGTACATACTGTAAAATCTGGGTACATACATTGTTACGCTTATCGTATCCCGCCCGTTAATGGCTTTCTCTCGTTCATTCTCTACATTCCTGTCGTTCGTTTGTAAAGCATTGAGATTGAACGATTTAAAGTAAGCCAAATAAACTAAATATTCTACTTCTTAACGTTAGCAGCTTTTAGTTTCTTTCGTTAGCAAAAGGTGCTCAAGGACTTAGTTGATATTTAAGGCTGCAAGAATGTTTCCGAGATTTTAAGAACTGCAAAGAATTTTGATAGCCGGAGTCTCCCACGTTACCGCACTTTAGAGTTAAGCATGCTGATGCAAGACTATGCAAGGCTTGTAGCGTTTTTAAGAAACTACTTTGTTTTTCTGAGAACGCCTAAATATCTAGAGCTCAAGATTTATAAATCTCGTCAAGTCCAGTAAATGTACAAGGAATGTTGTTTTACTTTTAATCACCGGTAGCAAGCACAGTATACCCAAGCGGTTTGTCACGTGACTTTTTAAACGCCAAGAGCGCTGTTCCCGCAAAACCAATAAGGCACATCATGAACAAGGCCATCATAAGGGAGGGACTGGAACCTATAAAGGAATGAGAACTTCAATTAACAGAAGCAAGATGTGAAAGAATAGTCTCGCAATGGTGTGGAAACTTTATATATTTTCGGTTCCAATAATGCGTTAAAAAGCTGGTGCATAACACACAATTTTCCCCCCAAATACGTCAATCAACAACTATTTCAAAACCAATATAGCGGTATTTACATGAAGTAACTTCCGCCATATTGGTGTTCAAAAACAATACAAGGGCGATTCTATTGATTTCCCAACAGACGTTTTGTTTTTGTTTTTTTGTTTTTTTTCGCTAATGAAAACATTTCTTTTTTCTTTGTTCTGATAGATTACAATGGCTGCTGGACACGTGAATGACAACGCTCTGCAAAGTGAAAGTGCAAATCGTTTTGTATAAAGACGTTCTTTTAAAAGAAGAAACGTTAGGTTGAGTAATCTTTCGGTTACCATTTTTCCACTGTAAAAAGTACACCTTGAAGGTTTTACTGCTTTTTTCATGTACAGCAGTTAGCTAGAATACTGCTAATTGGAAGGCCGAAACACACAGACAATGATCAAGGCCATTATCAAAATACATATAAGTTAGCTTGTTCTAATTAATCCGGCCCATTCGCCTTTTAAAGCATGTACCTAGTCTCTCGCCACTCTGGCCCACACCACCTTCATTTGCGTCTCGTTTCTGGTGGCCCAGGTGGATTGGGCCCTGCGCCAACATGTACACGTCATCAGTCATGTGACTGCTCACTTCACGTCTTCCACGGCCACTGGATGAACATTTCTTGCCACACTTAGAAGTTGGGTCGGTTGCGTTGCATAAAATGACGTGGCAGTGAACAAACACAAATGGATGATCAGCAATGAATTTGAAGGCTTCCAGACTGAAACCGATGTGCACTGACAGTAGGCGCACTATGGTACTTAACAGTCAAGTCACTAGGGCACCTAATATAAATACCAGATATTGTTTTAGAAGTGAGGACATATTTTTAAAAAAATATTTTCAGTTAAAAGGTTATACATGTAACATAGGCTCCTGATTATTACCGTCCACCTCATAACAACCGTGACTCTTAGAAAGAAAAAGAAAGAAGGAAAAGAAATGTGGATGACATTTCTCCCCATAACCTCAAAATTGCATTTAAAAAAACGGCTTAAATACAAAACTTGTAAAAGCGGGTGAAACTAGGGGTCATTTTTATTTATTTATTCTTACGTTTTACGGCCTCCCACAGATGGGAACGATATGGATATGTACACATGTTCAGTGAACTTGGAAAACACTGGGTAAAAAGACAACTTCACAATTATAACCTAAGACTTTGTAAACTCTACGCATTAACTGTACAAACCCTTTGGTAATAAAGATGTATTTTAAAGAATTCCTCTTATTCTGAGTTGGTGTGGCAAAACATCGATCAGCAAAGATTGACAGTTGCTTGTCACTTGATGTTACAGAAACCTCAAAGAAAAGACGTTTGCGAAGCACCGCAGCAACAGGGAAATCATCCTTCGTGTAAGGACTCACAAATCGTTTGTCAGGAAACATGTTCAACGACAGTGTAAAGTTTCCTTTGCCTTCATCGCTAAACACAAGTTTCCTGTTGTTTGGCTTCCAACCAACTGAGGAAACTACTCCATATTTAGAGTAAAAACAACTGAACTGGATTTCTAACTCTCGAACACGTGTTATAACATCTTTGGCTGCTACTGGAATTTCCAGTACTGTATTGGAATAGACAAAAGTTGAAGCAGTGTGCCTGCGTGTTGAATTGCATCCCGTCAGCGGTGTTGTGATTGAGAAGTATGCGCTTGTTTCTGTAGCTTTGCACGTGGTGTCCAGAAGTCGAAGATGTTCACGGTCAATACCACGGAGAAGGGACTTGGGGATAAAAACGGTCATATTCTTGCTGTTGCACTGAACTACAACACCTGGAGCTGAATGAATATAGATACAAATGAATTCAAGAAACGACGAAAAAATAAAAGAATTCTTTTTTTCTCGTGTGACAATGCTTGCATGAGATAAATGTAGAAGACAGAGTAACACTATAGACTATAGACTGAGTTAAACTGGCGATGAAGGAGAAATTACTTGAAAGCCTAAAAAAAACTATTAATAAAAATCTATTTATTATAAAAAAAATATACAATGAGAATTGCTCATACTTTTAAGCTAGGAAAGAGCCGTTGTTTTTTTCAGCCACACTTCTTTAATTGGTAAGGTCAACTCAGTTTTCCTACGCTATAGTGTTACTGTAATGAAAATTGTTTAGAAAAACTCTTTTTTGACTACGAAATCATAAATACCTATTTAAAATTTTCATTTTACCATGGCATGTCTTGTTATCTGGTGACAAGCTCAATTCCGGATCTGGACATTGGCATTTGTAGCTTCCCATGGTATTAACACACTTGTGACTGCAGCCGCCCTTTTTCGGCAAAGAGCACTCGTCAATATCTGCGAAAATCAGACGTTGATTATTATATGAAAGACAAGATTAACAAAAAAACCTAAAATTTCAAGACTCGCTAGTGCATGAAACCTTCTTAGCCCTGTCGGACCACTGACCCTCTACTCTGCACTGCTTAAAAGAAGGACCATTTAGTTGGTATTCCTGTGAGCGTGTAAACAAGCAGCTGGTGTCAATTTTCATCTGGGATTTGCCACAGCCGGATGGTGAAGCTTTCAAAAGTTTGCTGACAGTAAGAGCTGGACACATGATAGCGGAGACAAACGATATCAGAGGTCAAAATGACAAATATCCAAGACGTCAGCAAAATATTAAAAATAGAACAGACCAAACCAAGTACTTCAACACTAACTGTTACAATGTTGAGTTACAATATTACATAACCTCGTGACAAGATATGAGACAGTGTGAGCCGCTAAGCACAAATTAAGTCTTATACATGTCCTATTGATATTGTACGATGTTAGTTACCCGTTGGTCATACAAGAGAAGGAGCATTTGGTGTGGTCTTTTGTATCTTTAGGGTCTGATTGCACGAGCCGGGCAGGCCATGTTTTCAAGGCTTGATTTTCTCCGCTAAGCAGCTCGTTAATTAAACGTAATAAAAATCAACTTCGTGTTTACATATCAACCGAGCCATCCTGAGCTAATTCCTGGTTAGGTGGGATCCCGATATTACGATGCCGGGGTCCCAGCTGGTAACGGGGCTGGAAGTTGTCCAGTGTATTAATCACCTGCGTCGGGTTGGCTCTGTCCAAACCAAACATCGGGACAGCGGAAAACATACTGCTTCAGTATGCGCACTGTTTTACATCTCTCTATACACATAGCTGCTCCAGGTGGGATCACTTTATGTAATATCGAAATAAAAGTCGTCTCGGCAAACCGCCAAACCGGGGGCCAGCCAGCTCGTTGAAATTTGGCATTGCTGATGATCTTCTTTTATAGCCAACATCGTGTTTGTACGTACTTAAGATAAAAACGGTTCTGTTGGTAAAGTTTTGTTTTCTTTGGAAAATGATCGTGTCTGTACGGTTCTTCGTATTTCCAAACAACATTAACCATTCTTATTATTCATTCAAAATATTTCCCCGATTCTGATTGGCTAAAAGCACACGTATAATTCACCATAACCAGTTTCTGATGACCAAATTTGTGTTTAACGAGGAAATAACGTCAAAAATGCAGCGTTCGTGCTGGTTAAGACACAGTTAACCGAGAAGACCTGGAGACGAGGTTGAGTTTTTTTTGGTTGTGAACTTGAAAAATGGCGGACATTTCACTCGTTTCAAGAGTAAGAACTAGGTGAAAAAATAACTAAAAACATGGCAAGAACAGCACGAAGACAACTCGAAGGGCGACATCTGCTATTTGGAGAATATTTACGGAGCTGGACAAGTGAAAAATGGTGAAGAATTATGGAGATCTCGGAGGGTGTTATCTGCCTCGGCCTACGGCCTCCACGGATAACACCCTCCTCGATCTCCATAATTCTTCATAAGATACTCAGCCTCATTCATTAATTGTTAAATATACCACACGTTATTACTCAGTAATAACTCACCATTACAGTACGTTGCAGAGTTTACTCTTTGGCTCCAGACTCCACCTTTTCCACATTGCACTGAGGAGGGCCCCTTAAGTCGGAATCCTCGGTTACAAGAAAAAGTGCAAGTTGAACCATACCTTTGATCAGACGAGAGGCAATGAGAGGGAGACACACGTATACCACTCCTCAGAGAAATTTTTGGGCATTTACCTGAAATAAAGTTTAGACAAGTAGATTAGCTACAGTACATCACATCACCTGATTTGAAAGAAACGCTTATTTTTAAAGATAATCACTTTGTAATTCGTTTTCGTTTAAGATGACAAAAATACCTTCACAAAATTTAAAGTTAAATCGCCCTCTTTGTTATTAGATATGAGTATATACTTGTTTTCCCTTTCCATGCACTATTTATCCCTTTGCAGCAAATGTCTTACCATTTATAGCGGAGCCTCCATTGCTGTAGAAATTGGTTATGACGTTAGCGTACGCCGTTCGTACAGACTTTCGAAGAGGGGCTTGGGATTTTCTGCAAAGGAGGGAACAGGGGAGTCCAAGACATACAGCTTGCGTTTGTCTTGGCCAAAAATCATGTAACCGGTTCACCTAAAAGCAGCCAATGGAGTTGTTCCTCGTAAAAAATCTTGAAGTTTCTTTTCTTTGACTTAAGACAAAAAAAAAAAAAACTCCGAGACCAATTTACTAGTAGTCCTATATTAGTTAAAGTTTTGTGAGGTGTATTCATGCATAGAAACTTATGCATTATCTTGAGGTTTGTTTACCGACGACTGAAACGTTGTCTAATTTCTAACATTTGAACTTTTTGTGTTCTTTCAATGCTGCCACATTATAAAATACAGCTGCTGATCAGAATTCTTTTATTGTTCAAAGCAGGTTTGATATATTTCTTTATTGTTTATTTATTTGTGTAAGAGTTCATGCAGGATTTACAAAAAAGGGCGTTTCTGATCTTATTTACTACCTTTCAGGACTTGCATCTGAAGTGAGGTTGATTTTTTATTGTTTTTGTTTTTCTTGGGACTGGTTTTACACGTTTATGATGTCGCGCGCAATTATTTTCCAATTATTTTGGCTCAACCAAACACGAGAAAGTGAAAAGTACCAAAAAGTAAAAAATCACGGTTTTTTTTAACTGCTGTGTTTGTCTTGGCACCAAATCCTAAGTGAAATTGGACTCAAAGTACAAAAACTCAGGATGATTTTGAGCGCTTCTGTGATTTCTTCTTCTGTTTGTTTTTCATATTTTTACGTAGCACCTTGAAAAAACTAGTAAGTTTTCTTTACATCAGTGTTTAAGAATTCTTTCCCTACATGAAGTCGTTACAACCATTTTTGCAAACCCGCGCTTTTGAACACTTTTGAGCCTTACTTTTAATCGCAAATGAAGTCGAGTCTTCGCGATCGCTTTTATTCTCAATTTTAAAAGCTGAATCACTCTTGCTGAGTTTAATTGATGTGGAGGTTATATATCAAAAGGATACAAAATTGTCGAAACTATTTACGATTTATATCAGTCTATGGTTACAGCGACGTTTACGGCGAAACCGTTTCTTTCTTCCCATTGGGAAATTTTTCCCTGTGTAAGAGCCCCGAGCGAACCCAACCCACGCTATTTTTCCAAGGGGAGCTTTGGGGGAAAGGTCTAGTGCAGCCGCACCTATAATACGCTTACGGCGAACACAAAATTAAGGTCGGCCCAATTTTTCTTTTAGGTGTTTCCTAGACAGAAATATTAACCCTACAAATCGTAACCTGTAAATTAGCTGCTACCAAAGAGTAGGGACTTTAAGGCAATACACCACTGTCGGCTGGGACGGTTGAATAGTTGTCACGTCACGAAAACGCGTATGACATTTGACCGTCGTGCTACTGAGACGGTATGTTTTCGAGGAGTTTCTCGTCGTCGCGACTTCGATTAAAACGGTGAAAATTCACCCTTATTTTTCGCAATTTTTTAGCCTTTTCTTTTGTAATGCTTCTAAAAATAAATACCCAAAGGGTTGAATATCAATTTGGTTGTGTTTATCTTGATTTATATATCGGTGAAATGCAATCTGAGTTCATTCATCGGATCTCTCGCCAACACGATGATTCTGGCTTTATTTGCCAGTTTTCTATCTTAACGGATCTCTAGTGTCATCCGCATATTCACTTGGACAGTTAAAAAAACTTTCAATGCAATATCTGACAGATATAAAGTTGAAGCTTAATTCGCTTTGCATATTTTAAATTAAGAAACAGAAAATTACTGTTAGATAACAATATTTTAACAAAAAAAGAAAAAAGCAGAAGTTGACCCTGTCAGTTTTATAACCGTAGAACGACAATAAGTTTTGGACTTCGGGCCCTAGTATTTTGGAGTAATTGTTATAGGAATCGGGACGTCTATTTGAGAGGGGCTTCTAATACAATCTTAAAAGCGCAAGCGAGGCGTTTGTTTGACCAGAACCTGAATTTGGATGACCATAGTCAGATGATCTCTAAAGAGGCTGCTCCTGGCATTAGTGCAATTTTTTTTAATTTATCGCGATTTGGTACAGTCTCAACTCCATATCTTCTATAGTTTAAATGACATTACATGCATATTTGGACAAATTTGTGGTCGATTTTTAGCATTTTTTTCCCAGCGTATTCCTTTATAATTGCATGAGGGACTTTGCCATGTTTAAGTAAAGTTATCTTCTCTTCTCTTATCTTATTTGGCATCAATTAGATCATTTACGGAAATTTTAAAAAAGGCAAATATCGACAGTAAATGTGCAACTCACTTCAAAAAGAAACTTGTAAAGATTTAAAACGATAGCCAATGTTGCATAAGCGGCATAACGCTCTATTACAAAACCCCAACCGCCCCCCCCCCCCCCCCCCCAAAAAAAAAAATTAGGGATACATTTTTTTTCTTTGTGTTGACAATCATTCTTTTTATAAATTTTCTTTTTTTTTTTTTAAAACCCAGTACACTCCACACGTTACTCTCAAGTGGGGTTTACACAAAAAAAAAAACAAAAACAAAAATCAAAGCAACGACACTACANAACCCAGAGCCATCTAGAGGTGTCTCTGGGATCCCTGTACAAGCCAATAAACACTGTTTGTGATATTTTGGGGGTAAGTGCCTGTTGTTCAGCCGGTGTTTTCACCATAGCAAGGGTTGAACCCATTGTCTCACAGACTTTCTTTGCTGCTTTCCAGCTCAGTCCGCTATAGGAGATTTTATAGCATGAACTTTGTAGATAGATCCAGCCATTTGGACAAACACCTGTAGTATTAGCGTAGTGTAGAGGTCAAAGCTCTTTATCGGTTCCCACGTTTAGGAATCAAGAGGAAACAATCTTTAATTATCTTCATTTTTTTTAAAGTTAATGCAAGCCTGTTATTTTTGTATTCAAATGATAAAGTATGTGAAACCGATTAATCTAACAAACATTATTCCCCAAGCACCTGAAAGTATTTTGTGCGCGAAACTCTGCAGCAGCGACATCCTTTCCAAAAACACTCATGTAGCCCGCTTAACTAGGATTATTTAGCCGAGCAAGGAGAAGACATACTGTTAAAAGCGTGAAACACGAGATTCGCGCGTGGAGCGCTACACCAGGGAAAAGAGAAAAGGAAACGAACACCTCTAAAGAGCAGTCCACCTTAAAAGAACTATTCCAAACGCTCAAAATGCCTGTAAGTCTGTTTGTTGGTTTTTGTCAAATTTTTGATAAAGAAAGGCCAAATACTGGTAATTTCCTCTAATTTACCGTTGCTAAAACCTGCTGCTTTGCATACTATTCCATGCAATTTATGCTCATCGGGTATCCAAATAATATTAATGGATCCTAAAGATGTACATAAATATCGTGGGAAAAAACGCGTCATTCTAATTACAAGGTAATTGCTTGACTTTCCTCCTCGGAAACAGTCGTCAAACTGCGAATGAACTGTTTAAATGTTTTCTGAAAGTAGTTTTTTATTTTCCCATCAACAATTTCTTTTATGCTATTATTGGCGAAACGGTAAAGAACTTTTAACAGGCTTATTATGATGACATGCTAAATGCTGAAAACACCATGATCGCCTTTTAAAAATCATGAAAAGTTATCATTTTTATGGAGTAAAGTGAGCTGATTTGTACTTTTTTATACCTTATGCGTGTGTATAATATTAAGATAATTTTGGCGTCGAGTTTTGTTTTTTCGTTGACTTCCTGACAAAAAACGTGTAAGACTTTTGTAATTTGAAGCATTTTCAAGTGGGAAATGTGGCTCATGATAGTTCGACTTTAAATTTAAAAAAACAGTTTTGCCTTAAGATTTTCTTCCTACCAGTAATAGCTCTAACCGGTGATAAAAAGCCATGGACGCGAAAATGTACAGCTCGACCAAACTGCTCAACAGGGTATGAAACCCTTTACTAGTACTTGACAAAAAATGCAATGAAACCTTTACTAACTAAAGTTTCCTTCCTTTGAAGAATGATATCAATATTTTCAAGGCTGTATCAAAACACTATGCAAGTGTTTTAAGAGAGTGCTAATGGGGGTACCCAATTCTCAGTTAACTACTATTTTTTTGGGCCAATTCTCAGTTAACTACTAATTTTGACTTTTACTTTCCTACACCTAATATTATTCCGTCATAACCCGAATTTTCCTTCTTTCAGCAAGTCAATTACTTTTGGTATAGGCCTTATTAAAACCAAGGTATAAATTTACATGAACCCCGCCACGGGTACAATTTATTCATCATCATCATCATCAAGTCTCATCGCGCCAGTAGGCGCATAAGGCCTCAGTACAATTTATTAGTAACTGAAAATATAATTCGTATAACCATCATTAGTATATACACACTCAGTGATCTTGGTAATTCAAGCAATCTGATTGGTTAGCTATCTCGGACTATGACGTTATATTCACCGCGCTAGGCGGTGAATATAAAGCCGAGCAAAATCGCTGTCGTGAACTGGGTGTTTTGCCAAAGTTTCAAAGTAAAACCTGTTTGAAAATACACGAATATCCAAGTGCTGATGACTTTGAAGGCAAGAAAAGACTTCATGGTGTTTAAACAGCGTGATTTATTGTGAAGTGGTTTACTTTAGCTGACTTTTTGTACGCTCGAAGCTATGTTTACCACTACAGAGGAAAACGAGGTCGCTTTGTCACTGTTTTGTGATTTCGGGATTTTCTCGCAAGACCAATTTTGCCTATAAATAGAAGTTAATTTATGGAGAAGAGAGGAAGGCAAATATTTTCGAAAATTGTACGTGCCAGCAAGTTAACAAGGCAAAGAACTTTGGAGATAAACAACGCTCACCTTGATCGCAGCCGCTGTTGACAGCATTTGCAAGAAGCGACGAAGAAAACTTTCTCATTCACGGTGAGTTGACAGAAACAAATAAAGCTCTAGATACTTTTCTTCTCAGAATTGGGTAGTAATTTAAATTTTCGGCGTTTTCTTTTAAACCGTTGATGCTAAAGCTTACAAAACTCGATACAAAAGGATTAAAACTATCATTTGCCATGTTTGAAGATACTGTAAAGATCTAACTTTTACGCATCCACTGTTTACGGCTTCGTGTTCACGCATGAATTTTCACCCGTCAATCAAACTAATGGTTTTTTAATGGTTTCCTTTCTGATTCTGTTGAGATCACTTCGTGTGAATATACAAAAACAATTATTCACCTCAGGCTCAGTTAATATTGTTGAATAATCCCCTCGACTTCGTCTCGGGGATTATTCAACAATATTAACTTCGCCTTCGGCGAATAATTGTTAATTAGTATATACACACTCAGTGATCTTGGTGATTTAAGCAATCTGATTGGTTCGCTATCTCGGACTATTCAACAATATTCACCTCCCAGCGAGTGGATAATGTGTGAGCTCGGTTTTTTTCCCATTTTCTTAGAGAAAGATCTTTTAAAAGTCGACAAAATCCTAGGGTTGACTTTTTTTCTGGCAAGAAAAGACTTCGAAGGATTCAAAACGGCGTTTTTCCATTTACTGTTGTTGAGTTTTGTGGTCGATGGATTGTTTACAACTCCCGTTTATTCGCATAGAAGAGGCCGTTTGGTGAACTCAGCGTTTCCTAACACGAAAAATCTGGCCCAAAAACGAAGTTTATTTATGACAAACAAATTTGAAAGCAAATGTTTGCAGAAATTCTACATTTCAAGTAAACACGAGAAAGAATGCTACATGAAGACGACGTCTTACCTCGAGGAACCGAATTGCCATTTTTGTCAGCACTTCATGCGAAGAACGACACAACAAACCTTTTCGGCTATAAACTTGGCGAGTCAACAGAAAACAACAAAGCTCTTCTTTTCTTCTCAGGTTAGGAAACAATTCAAACTTTTAGCTGTTCCATTTAAGTCATTACGCTGTTGTTTGCGAAGTGATAAGCTTGTGAATTGCCATGTTTGAAAATTCTACAAAGATCTATTTCTAAACTGTCGCGTGTCTAGCTGAACTGATCTGTCAATCAAATCGTACTTTTTAATGGTTTCCTCTCTGATTTTGTTGAGATTCCTTCGTGTGTATATACTAAAACAATTATTCTTTTCAATCTTGGTGAATAGTGGCTTTAGGAATATTTACCTCGCCACTTCGTGGCTCGGTAAATATTTTGCCACTATTCCCCTCGATTTCAAAGAATAATTGTTAAATATGACACCAGCCTCATAGATCCAGACGCACCAGTTATGATCTCGTACCTATCTTCCCGACATGGTCATGCATGTCCGGTCATAAACTACCTCACAAAGTCACCTTCTTCGAAACTTTCGTTATCTGATCGGAATCAGTCTTGTACTTATATGACTTATGTCCAATTATTATCTGGTTGTTGTATGTCCTGTATCTTTTTGTTAGCCTAAGTTTCAATGGCATTTTTAATCCTTGCAATCCATTGCAACAGACGACGAGAGATATTATCAATGCCAAAATATAGTCTTAAGGGGCGCCTTCAAACAGCGTCTATTGCGGTCGTGCACTTCACCGAAATCATTTGTTGTAATACAGAAATTACAAACGTTCTAATTGTGTTTGAAAATCGGATTGTATCTTCACAACCTAAGGCAATAGCACGCTGTGATACCCTTCTTAAAAGAAACATAGATACAATTCTGTTATCAAACACAGAAATCACGTTCGTGATGTCTGTATTACAGCAAACGGTTTTTGGTGAAGTGCACGACCGCAAAGCACACTGGTTGAAGGTGCCCCTCTAAATAACAAAACTGGACCATTTATTTTTGGAATTCAATTGGTGAATGCAATCACATTTTGCACCGATGGAAAAGACATAGTTGAGAGTGATGACAAAAGCATGAAAGTATTTGACACGGGACAATACGACTTTTCGTGAGTGTAGCCCACTTCGAACTCGTACTTCTCTTACGCGATTCCTTTAAAGTCTTGGGCGTAGCTCAAAGGGCTAAATGTTTTGCGTCGAAGTGAGAAACCGCGTGTATGTTTTCCACCTGCGTTGTCAGAAGTTTTGTACAGATTTTACAGATTTTGTCGACATACTCTTTCGCGTCCCTCAATGTTACCTTTTTCGCAGACGTACCTCTTTCGGGTATTTCAAAATCTTTATAAAGACATCCAAGGGTTTTAAGAAATGAAACTGCCGAAACTGTTACAGAAATGTTGGTTTAAAAACGAGCTTTTCTTTCTATTTAAAAAAGTCTGAATAGTTAGAACTCCAACATCAATTACAAAAATTATTTCTCGTAAGTAAAATTCCACGTACTTAAAAGAAAGATTGCTGATTTCTTTGAACCCTCAGAAATTCTTTTTGCCAGATCCCATGCTAAGAGTCACAGCTTTTTTATTTGGGTAGTAATGTTTAACTTGACGATCTTACCATTGGGTCCATGAAAACAATATTTTCCTTTTCCGAACAAAGAAATCTTGTTAATATTAGAAGATGAATTATTCGTTGAGAAAACTAACACTTTCTGTGTGTCGGGTACTGCGATGCCCTGTTGCCTTTTGCACATAGTAATATCAGTTAATGTGCCACTGGGTCAACAGCGTAACAGAAAAATGTCAGAAAATAACATTAACATTAAGTGGTGAAACGGACCGGAAAACTCATTCCGCCTTTTACCTCACCGGAAGTAGGCGAACTCTTATGCCTCTAGGACATTGGTGACATTTTTTGTTGATTCCTTTTGCTATTTTATACTAACAGTTCCAATAAATTAAACAAAATATTGCTAAATTAATGTAATGCTATAATTGAATAAGTCAAAATAGAAATAAACCCTTTTTCAGGAAAAAAGCAAATAATTTTGAAAATCGTTGCTGTCAAATCTCGGTTGCGAAGGCGACGTCAATGTTGACGTACACGGTTTTGAAGTTATTCAACTTTTTAGCGAGGGGGTTAGGGTTGGGTTAGAGCGTCTGCTTCTCTATCTCCCCATGGTGGACAATCTACCCTGACTTAATCTAAGCATACGAGATAAAGCTAGTTTGACATATGATTTTCAGCACAGCAGACTAAATATAGAAAAGAATCATTATTACAGGCAGATACCTTGAATTTCGCAAATGTAACCGCGAGGACCGGAACATCCTATGTCATTCCATCTTCCTGCATAGCTAGTACGGTACATTTCTCCACAATTTTCCCCGGACGATCTTCCATTAGGCTCGCCTTTGTACCAGTGAGTGTAGTTAGCCTGTGTTCCATCTAGAGCCATCTAGAGGTGTCTCTGGGATCCCTGTACAAGCCAATAAACACTGTTTGTGATATTTTGGGGGTAAGTGCCTGTTGTTCAGCCGGTGTTTTCACCATAGCAAGGGTTGAACCCATTGTCTCACAGGCTTTCTTTGCTGCTTTCCAGCTCAGTCCGCTATAGGAGATTTTATAGCATGAACTTTGGAGATGGATCCAGCCATTTGGACAAACACCTGTAGTATTAGCATAGGGTAGAGGTTGGTCAAAGCTCTTTATCAGCTCCTACGTTAAGGCGTCAAGCGGAAATAATTTTTAATTATCTTCATTTTTTAAAACTTATGCATGCCGTTTATTTTTATATTCAAAAGATAAAGTTTGTGAAGATTAATCTAACAAACATTCTCATTCCCCCAAGCATATGAAAGTATTTTGCGGGTGAAATTCTGCGGCAGCGACCTTTCCAAAGACACTCATGTAGCCGGCTTAACGGGAGTTATTTAGCCGACCAAGGAGAAGCTAGACACACTGTTGAAAGCGGTACGCGCAAGAGTCGCCCGTGGAGCGCAACACAAGGGAGGAGAGAAAAAGAAACGAACACCTCTAAAGAGCAGTCCACCTCAAAAGGACTACGTTTTTGACGTTTGACGTTTCCGTGTTTCAAATTGTCTTAAATTGTGTTTTTTTGGCAAAGAAAAAATAATTAACTGTCTGGGCCACAACCAGATCTGGATATGTAATTTCCTGCAATGTGATTGGTCCAGACCGCAACCAAAACATTGATTTCATCGCCAAAGGACTAAGTTCGACAGAAATGTCGAAGCAAGGAGCGCTATGGCTGGGATGTTCCTTGAGGACTGTAAGTAACAGCATGTAATACCAAACCGATTAATCGGATGATTTTATGCGTCTTAGCGTTCGATTTACAAATATCAAGATGATAATGATTGAGGAAGGTTTCTGTACAAACGCCTGGACTTCTGATATCAAGAGACCCGAAGCAACTCGACGACACCGATCGAAAGGGAAGAGTAGGGAATTTGAATACTTGAAATACTGATACATTTTAAGTGGAAAGGTCTAAAGAAATGCATTGTGACTCAGTAGACTCCCGCTTGGTGTTTTTCTATAAACGCAAGTCTTCTGACTGGAGCGCGTATTCCCTTCCTTGATAATAGCTTTTGAATAAGCTTAACAGTGTTTGAACTGTTTTTGTTATTGCCACTTTGTGATCAGGCAAGACATGGTTACGGTTCTCCACGAACAAACCGGCGGCATCTTTTGGCCACAAAAACAAGGTGCTTTTGCTTTCCCATCCGACTGCAACATAACATAAAATAAACATGGCGTCACAATGAAAACAAGCACGTGAACGGCGCAGCTGACTGTTGCATCTTCCAAAGCACAGCACTATTTGAATTCGCTATGCACTACACCAAAAAGATCACCATCAACAAGCAAATTTTATGTAGATTAAAAAAAATTTTTTTTCAAGGATCAGAAAATTGAAACTCACCTTCTTTTTTTAGATGTTTTGCGCCTTGTCCGGCATTTCTTTGAGCTGTAAAACTCTCGTGTTCGGTCGTTTTACCTCCCAAGAACGCACAAACGTTCACCGGAAGGCGTTTTTTCTTCCCTCCCCTGATTTCTCATTGTCTAAAGTCACAGCTTTCAAGGTAGTATAGGAAAAAAGCAATTCTAGGCGCAGCAAAGAGCCTGGAAGTGACCTTCCCTCGTGTTTTTCGGCGTGGGCGCCATTTTGCAAATATGGGTGACGTCATTATATATCCAGATCTGGTTGTGGCCCGGACTGATTAAAGTCATTCACAGTAGATGACAGCTGTCAGACAGCAGCCGAGTCCCCAGGCGTTTCCGGCTCGGTCATTCCTGGACTCTACCATGAGCTATGACGTCACCGGGAGATACTTGCCCGCTCTCTCCCAGACCTCGCGCGGACAACGGATAAAGAGAGAACGCCTAGGGACTAGGCTGGTCAGACAGGTCTTTTGACGACGTTCACGGGAATATATCACCCAAGGCATGCGAATGTTTAGTACTAAAATATTTTCCTATTCGTAAAATATTTTAAAACCACTGTAAGTTGATTAAGCGTATTATTTCGAGTCACCGAAAATACTTACCAACTTAAATTAGTTGGAGACACGAAAGTTCAACTGAAATTATTTACACTTGCCCATATTGACTCTTGGACGGACAACTTCGTGCACGTGATAACATAAAGCTGTTTTTTACTGTCGTGCTAAAAATCGAAGCTCTTAAATAGATAAAGTCCATAAAAAAACCTCAGAGTAGCGATTCGGGGATAGATACTGAGTAAAGCACACACTCAGATAAATTGCTCTATCTTGATTTCTTGATTTCTGAGACAAACATTCTGAGATTCTTCGCACGTACAACCCCTTAAACTTGTTCTAAGAATTGTTTTTAGAAAATTAATATACATGTAATAATAATTTTAATAGTGGTGTCTGAGCATTTTATTTGGTCCGTTTTCAGTACCAGCTAAGTACCAGCCAGTTTGTGGCTCATAAATAAAATGCGCGGGAAACAAGTACTAGTAACGACGTCACGACTCCAAAATGGGGGCGTGTCGATGTCCATTTGACAGTTTTGCAAGCCCATTTTGCTTTGAACATAAAGTTGCCATTTCGCTAACATCAAATCCATTGTCATCACCTCTTCGGTGTTGTGCTAAAACACAACTGATTTCCATACCAATTCAAATCCACTCGAGGATATTTCTAACACGCCATGCTGTGCGGCTCTCTATTGTTTCGCACATTTCCAAAAGTGGAAAAGCTCTGGACTGGTCTAAAACATACAAATGTAGCTGAAGGAGCCAAAAATGAAGTAAAAAAAAAAAAAACCAAAAATAAAATATCTCCTAAATATCTTGCCGATTTGATGTCTGCCGTGTTCGAGGAGTATCAGTTATAAAATTCACTTATTTTTTTCTTGTCTTGTTTTCATTTACATTGATGTATTGTCTTTGATTAAAAAGAAAAATATTCTTGGTTTTAGTGTTTCATTTTGATTATCCAGCTGTGCTAGTTTTCTTTCGAGCGGGTAGATTATATATTACATGGAGAAGTTTTTGTTCTCTAGGTATTTCCCGGAAAGGGGGCACTCCCTTATTTGGCCCTGAGCAGGACGTGGTTTTTAGGGTCTGTGAAGGTTGGATATAACCTGTCTGCATTTGTGGTACCAACAATTTTTTTTTTTTACCAAAAAATCCAATTCCACGACGTTAGTTTGAAAAATTAGTTAGCCCTGTATGCGAAACGAAACAAATCGGGGTCCTAAAATAAGGTCTCTTGTCTTAAGCAGGGTCTGGGTTTGAAGGCCACGGTGGTAAAACTTTATTCAAACTTTCCTTAAGTGCTCCCCTCGAGTACGGTCCATTATGTTTTTCTTGAGATTAGTTGTTGTCCTGTAGTTCCTCCGCTGCAATAAATACTTAATATTTAATGTTTTAGCTTAACAGTCTTTGCGACTGTCCTGATGGTTGTTGGGACAGCTTCCTCGGAAAGAACACCCTCTCTGTCTCGTTCGGCCATGATATATGTCTGAGTGTCCTGGCCTTGAGTATTGCTGACTAAGCACTACTGAAGCTGTCACGTCGGTGAGATCCATATCTATCTCATTTTAAAAATAAAAACGCCATTTGAGAAATCAAGCGCGATAAATTTTGGAAATCAAAGACTAGCTGGAAAATCAAAATGAAACACTAAAACAAACAAAAAAGATATTTTTTAATGAAAGACAACTTGTTATCAAATTCAAACAAAACAAGACAAGAATCAAAGTGAATTTTCTAAGTGATACTACTCGAACACGGTAGACAGTCAAATTGGGCGGAAGCATTATGGCTCCTGGTAGAAGATATTTAGAGTGAAATTTTGTAGATCCTTCATGGGCCATGCGCTTGGGTCTAATCTAAATCTTTTCATTTTTTTTTTCTGGAGTGCATTCAATAAGGGCTCTTTCAGGTATATTTATTGCTTCATTGGTGATATTTTAGGGTTTTTTTTGGTTTTGCAATTTTTTTGGCCCATTTTGTAACTAACAGTAGTGTTCCGGGGAGGTCCGACCCGTCAGGGGGGTTGTTCCTGGGTGTCCTGGGGGTGTTCTTGGGATGTCCGGGGGTGTTACTGGGTGTTTCAAGAATAGTGTTCCGGGCCTGTTCCTGGTTTTACAGAGTCAAACTCGTCAAACTGTCAATGAAATGTTTAAATGTTTTCTGAAAGTAGTGTTTTATTTTCCCATCAACAATTTCTTGTATGCTATTATTAGCGAAACGCAAATAACTTTTAACAGGCTTATTATGATAAAGTGCTAAATGACTGGATACCGATGTTCGGTTGATGTCATTTCCTAGCGTTGATCGATGGGCGCGTAGTTAGGCTGAAGAGGTATAGGCGGAAATGTTTTTGTAGTATGGGATGTGTCTTATTTTAAGCCATTTCGTGTAGTATTATAGATAGATCTCTAATAGGCGTTATTTATTTACTTCCTCTCATCAAGGGCCTCTTGTAAAATACAGCATGACGCAGCGGTTAAAATTAATCGTTATTGAGTTTTGCAATTCAGAAATAACTAATTCGTCTCATCAGTTCATGTCCATCTTAAACGAATATTAGGTAGTTGCACCAACCCAAACAACCAAGTCAGTAAATTCGTTGCATTGCAGTGGTCTTGTATAGCGTTGCCCTTTTACAGAAAAAAAAATACTTTTAGTTTTACTCGTGTTGTAGGTTCGACGTTGCTCATTAGTCTCTTTACAACAAGTAAGCCTAAACCCACGTATTTTTCTTCAACATTCTTAACGCAAGAAATCCATATCTGGGCTAAGTTTTTACAAGTAGATTTAAAATCTTAAATAGCCAGCCTCTCTTTCGATAAAATGATTAACTGAAGACTTCAACTAACTAAGCAAAGCACTGTCAATTTAGCCTTTTATGCTCGAGCTCAGAACTGCTTTGTACATAATACATTATAGATGCA